ACTGGATCTGGGTCTGGTGGACCGGTTCCTGGGACAGAGCAGCAGGAGGTCGTTAGTACCGCAGCTCCTCGATCAGAGCAGCAGCGGGGTGTCGGTACCTTGGTGGGATCTCCTTCATCGCTTCCTCCTCAGCCCAGGAAGAAGAAGTTCAAGAGAAAGGTAGATCAGCTATGTTTTTACTGCAAGAGGGACGTGCATCTGGCTTTGGACTGTCTCGAGTTTCTTGAGGATAAGGCAGCAGGGAAGGTCTCAGAGGTAGAAGGTAAAATGTATGATAGACGGGGTAGGATAGTAGAGAAGTCCGCAGATGGACTTAGGGCTCAGTTATATAGGCAAAACCAGGAGAAATTGAGGAGGTAGGGCCGGTTTTGTCTATATAAGTGAGCGAGCATTTTGTGAGGCATCAACTTAGGTTCTGTGTAATACCATCTTAGACTTAGAAGACATTTTGATGATTGCTATTAGTCTAGATCTGAACTCTAGTATTCCTACTGAGTTGGGATCTTGAGAATCAGGGTGAGTTAGATGAGGCATGTACATATTTAGGTAGCCTACGCCCTGGCCTTTGAGACACAGATCGGACATGTATTCTAGGGGCAGTTGTTAATGTAAGTTTGGTGTGACTTGAGTTGAGTGAGCTATGATTGATTTTATATATACTATGATGAGTTTTTTTGATCATTCTTATATGTGGCGATCACTTGTCACTCTCACATATGTGATTGTACTCTGATGTATGATGAGTTTGTGTGGACAATGTGTGAAAAACATCTTGTGTATTATAGGTACTGTGAGTATGATTATAAATAAAACTGTCTACTCCTTGGTATACTTGTGCGACCTGCCCACGGCAGCTGATAAGGCAGAGTATAAGGGGAGGAAGTGCAGTCCGTCTGTGAAAGTTATCTAAGTTGTGATGAGAACCCATGAGGTGGTCTCTCAGTGATGTTCTGTTTTATAATGGGACCCCCTTAGATTTTTGAGAAAGGGGGATGTTTTATGATGTTTTGTGATATAATGAAACCCCTCGTGACTTTGAGAAAGGGGGTGTTTGGTTTATGATGAGACCCTCGTGATTTCTGGAAGAGGGGATGTATTGTTTTATGGCGAGACCCCTCGCGATTTTTTGAAAGAGGAGGTGTTTTGTTTATGAAGAGAGCCCCTTTTGGATTATTGAAAAAGGGGAGTGGTTTTTTGGTTGGAAGACTCATTCTCAKAAATGAGTAAATTGATTTATGGGATGAGGAGTTGTTTGATGGGTGATAAAGTCTGACGGAAAGGGGCCACTTTTGTTTGAAATGTTTGAGAAAGTCACAATGAGTGCAGGGTGAGAGATGTCTCAGGGTGGGTGGCTGCTGGCTCTGATCAAGTCAGGGGTCACGGCCTGGTGGATTTAGCGGTGATTTTGCTTGTAGGCGTGCGAGGGATGCCATGCCTATTGAAGGAGGGCTGGTAAATACCTTCGGACCCCTGCGTATCGCGCAGTGGGCCTGTGATTTTGTTTTGCGACGCCCCGTCTAACCACATGTGCTAGTTCTGGGACATTTGAAGAAAGGCCAAGCTAACGGAAAAGAAGTTAGTACCTCTAGGGCGTAACCCCATTGGATGGCTGCTAGCCGGC